TTGCTTAGTTCAAGTGCCTGCGGCACGGTAAATCGCCTTGCTCAGTTCAAGTGCCTACGGCACGGTAAATCGACTTGCTCAGTTCAAGTGCCTACAGCACGGTAAATCGAGTTGCTCAGTTCAAGTGCCTACGGCACATTAAATCAACTTGCTCAGTTCGCTCAGGCATTCAACATCCTTGATGCTCTTTGGCGGGGTGCACTCAGATGTCTGGCGACCTTGATACTCATTGGCTGGATGCGCTTGGATATACAGATACTCATTAGCGCGATGCGCTCAAATACTTATTGGCGAGATGCACTCAGATATACAGATAGTCACTAGCACAGTGCGCTTAGATACTCATTGGCGCAGGGCGCTCAGATGTATAGATACTCATTAGCGCAGTGCGCTCAGATACTCATTGGCGCGAGGCGCTCAGATGTACGGATACTCATTCGCGCGGTGCGCTCAGATACTCATTGGCGCAGGGCGCTCAGTTGTACAGATATTCATTAGCACGGTGCGCTCAGATACTCATTGGCGCAGGGCGCTCAGATGCACAGATACTCATTGGCACGGCGCGCTCAGATACTCATTGGCGCTGGGCGCTCAAATGTACAGATACTCATTGGCGCGTTGCACAGGCACACTGTAACCCTTGTGCTCTCGGTCGTGGCGCAYAGGCATACGRTAACCCTTGTGCTCTCTGGTGCGGCGTACTGGCTTACAGTAACCCTTGTGCTCTCTAGCGTGGCGCACAGGCATACAATAACCCTTGTGTGGTAATGGTGCACGCCGGAATTAAAATAAAATAAAATAAAATAAAATAAAAACCGGGGCTTATTCACAAGCGACCGGTCTGACTAAAGGGGGATGACGGAAATGAGTAGGAAGGGAGGAAGAAGAGAGGGAGAGAAAAGAGCCAAGGGGGAGAGAGATAGGAGGGGAGGCAAGGGAGAGGGCTCTGACCCTAGTGAGAATCAGGACTAACTCTTCCCCAAGCTGCTCCACTCCTTTACCTCTTTCTTGCTTGCCTTCTCCTTCCCTTACTTGTTCCAATGTTGTAACTCCCGCTTGCCGTTCCGCCAGTGCTTCCCCATTCCCGCAAATGAGGGTCTTTCGTCCCTTCTTAAGTGGCTCGGCCTCTCTTTTATAGTGAAGAGGCCGGGTGATCGGGCAAGGTGCAGCAGTCCTTGGGCTAAAAATAGCACAAGCCTGTGCTACAATTAGCACAGGCTTGCGCTAAAATTAGCGCGGTACTGGGACAGTCTCGACATTGGGACACGAACAGTCAGTCCCGTGTTTAAAATAGCACGGGCCTGCGCTAAATATAGCGCGGGCCTGCGCTAAAATTAGCGCAAGACTTCGCTAAAATTAGCACGGGACTGGTACAGTCCCGACTTCAGAACACGAACAGTCAGTCCCGTGTTAAAAATAGTACGGACCTGCGCTAAGTATAGCGCAGGCTTGTGCTAAGATTAGCACGGGACTGCACTAAAAATAACGTGGGACTTGGCTAAAAATAGCGCGGGTCTTGGCTAAAAATAGCGAGGGACTTGGCTAAAAATAGCACGGGACTTGGCTAAAAATAGCGCGGGACTTGGCTAAAAATAGCGAGGGACTTGGGACAGCCCCAACCTTGGGATACAGACAGTCAGTTCAATGCTAAGAATAGCATGGGTCTGCGCTATATTTAGCTCGAGCCAATGCTAAAAATAACTCAGGCCTGCGCCAAAAATAGCGCGGCCAATGCTAAAAATAGCACGGACCAATGCTAAAATTAGCGTCGGGCTTGGGCTGGCCCGACTTTGGAATACTAAGGGTCGGCCTTGTTTTAAAAATAAAACACCCCTCTTAATCATAATAAGGGKCCCAATCCCATATTCCCCTTGAMCATTTCGGGCCGTACTCTTCSCGACGCGGCAAGTCCGGTCCCAAGTGGTCAATTCTATTTTTCTCACGAACCCTTGGTCCGTTTTCAGTACCGTTTGGACCGGGCCCTACTAATCTGGCCCTTGCAGACGCGGCGGTTCAGCCCAAAAGTCGTGATTCGATCGCCATGGAGCTGGACCGTTACGCCGTCTTGTCCGCTAACTTGACCCAAGGGCCAACCAGCGTGTCAGCATTCTGCTGATGACCATATGCAGTCCTATGGTGCGGAGGCTGGCCGCGACGAGTCAACTATACATTGACGCGGCGCGCCGCTGTCCGACACCACGGGACATGTTCTAGGGGTTTCGGGTGGCGTGACGGAGACTGCGCCACGCACAGGAGACATGCCACCCCCTCGTCCTAGACCGCCTGTCGGTGATCCATTATTGGCGCCCACGGGCAGAGGCTCTCGATCCCCACACACGCCTAGGAGACCTAGGATTCGTGACACGACAGCAGTTCAGCGGGACGTGTATGACACGGCGTTATTTGGCACGACAGAAATACATTTGGATTCGACCTGCCGTGTCACGGAGCATACTGCACGCCTTCAGCTGGGCTTGGGACCCCGTGGCACCAGGACGACCGCGGCGAGGGAGGTACCAGCATCAGGTTGTGAGCCTCAGCGAGGTCGCGACAAAGGAGTGTCTACCGAGAGCTTGGAGCACGCTTTGAGAGCAGCGATGCGTGCCGTGCATGAGCAGACTCCACTCAAGCGTGGAGTGCCTCCTCGTCCACGCCCCGTGCTTGCAGAGGGAGGCACTGCACTTGGAGAGAATTCGGGGACGGAGGGGTTGGGGATGCCTCATGGATCCCGACGTGAGCAGACGGTTGCAGAGGCTAGTACGAGGGTTGTTGTGTTGAGGAAGGGAGGAGGCCCTGTCACCATCGAGGAGGATGATCCTGATATGGATGCAGCAGTGCGGGAGGAGGACGAGGACTGTGAGGGCGAGGAGGAAGGAGAGGAGGAGAAGAAGAGCGGTTCCGATGGTGACGACGACGACGACGACGATGAGTCCCCACCTCCCCCACCGACGCGTGCATCTAGACGCTCCGCTGCGCGGACTTCTTCATCCGCACGAGGGAGGAGGAGGTCGACATCCGACACTCGAGGGGGTACAAAGAGACGGAGCGGGAAGGGGAAGAAGGCTCGTTGACCGATGAGGCCAACACTCCGCTTCTCCGCTACTCGCACTGTACTTCGTCATGTTCTGCAGTCCTAGTTTTTTTGGTCATCTCATCTTGTCTTAGTATTGTTAGACACTCAGTGATAGTGTGCGTGCTTTACTTGTTCGTGTTTGTGATGTTGGTAGCAGTAGGGTGTCTGTAAAGTATGATTTTGGTACCAGTAGGCTGAGTAGGGTGTTTGTAGAGTACCGTCGGTTATAGCAGACTGAGTACAGTGTCTCAGCAGCTACGACTCGACTTGTAGACTACTGATTCTTGTATTTTTTTTGACATGTGGTACCGGTGCCTTAGCAGAAGGATACATTGTATCATGTTACATTTTTCATGTCTGATTTTAGTGACTGGTACTTCATATCGTTCACGACTTTTCATGTACATTACGTTTTCCATGTACATTGCATTTTCCATGTACATTTTGTGTTACGAGTGATTCACGTCGTGTGCACTACGTTGCGTGCCCATTTTTTTTCGGTGGGTGATTTTATATCTTTAATTTTTGTTCTCCGTTTCAATTTCATTTCTTGCGTTTGTTTCTTTTAATTTATTTTTGGCTTGGAGAKTTCGGTGGTTGTTTTCTTTTTGTTTCTCTGTTAATTGTTGAATTTATAATTTAT